CACGACCTTGTGGTGATGCACAGATTAATGGAGATGGGTTAGTTTGGGATATAAGAGCTAGCTAGAAATACACTTAAGCTATTGGCCAAACAATATTGCAAATGATATAATTTCTGTGTGATTATTGCAGGACTAGGTGGGACAGAAGCCTCCCCCAACACGGCATCAATCTATGTATAGCAGAATATTATTAGGAATTATTTCATTGATTTTTTTTTCTTGCCAGTTGTGTTTGCTTCTATCCTAGGCCAGTGGGCTGTCTGGCCTCTGGGTCCTGGCCCTCCAGATAGTTTCAACTACTTTTTTTTTTTTTTACACAAAAGACCATTTTATTTATTTACTTTGAAACAGAGTCACATGTCTCTCAGGCTGGTTTCAGACTTACTGTGCAACTAAGAATGACCTTGAGCTTCTGACCTTGAGCTCCTGCCTCCATGTCGGAGTGCTGACATTGCAGGTGTGCACCACCATTCCCATTGAGTGTAGGGGTTTGAATTAGGGTCTTTGGGCATAGTGAGCAAGTAATCTATCAGCTGAACTACATCTCTAATTCCCCCAGATAGGATCATTTTATACACACTTTGCATATGGGGCTTATCTCAAGATTTTATGAAAATCCTCAATATCCATCTGACTCTAATTCATTTTTAACAACAGCAAAATATTGCTTTGTAATGATGTAATGTGCACATTCTTTCATTCCCTCCCCTTTAGTCTTCTACACTGTCAATTGTGGAACAATTAAAAAAAAGTGTTTTTTTGTTTTGTTTTGTTTTTTAACTGCTTTGGACTACATTGCTAAGCCTGGTGTTGCAAGCTCCAAGGAGGGCACAGTGTGTTTTTCAGAGGAAGATGCTAATAGCCTTTGTTTCCATTGTTACAAGTGACTCTTGGGATCCTTCTCACATTGGGAAAGTGAAGCAGGGACTGCAGATGTCCTTGAAGGTTCTTTACAGCTCATTCTAAGCTTCCCCGCTTCTGTGGCCAGCACCTACTAGCCTGCAGGCTGCTGCAGTGTTGGGTGATGCAGGGCTCCTCATTGCTGCCGCAGCCTGCAGGAGGCTGGATCTGGACCTGCAGTCGGTACAACACAGTCCTCAGGATGGAATCTGAGGGAAGGTCTGGGGAAAGGGGCTTTGATCTCTCTGTGTCCTGAGACAGGAACCTAAAGGAGAACTGGCCTGTGAGGTTGATCCAAGCTTCTGTACTGTATTAAGGTGTGATAGAAACCGAGGTGCTTCTGAACACCCCCGTAGCAGCTTCAGGGTTCGGGCACTTTTTCTAGGGCAATTATAAGATTTTAAAGATCAAAGTGAACACTTGATGTATTTTTGGAAAGTTTATAGCTGTTTGTATCTTTTAATCCACATTGCACCTTCTGAACCAGGTACAGAGATCCTGCTGTTTTTACTCAACCTGTGAGTCTTCAAGCATACCGTCCGTCTAGACAGAGCAATAGCAATAGGCAAGGCTCAGGCGTACCAGGTAGCCAGGTAGCCAGCCAGGTAGCCAGCTTCAATCAATCTGTTCCCTTCAAGTGCACGCTCCCATTTCTCCTCAAGCCCCCCTCGGCACCCCGCCCCCGGCTTAATTCTTGTCTTTATTTAACAAATAGACAATGTCCTTCAAGGTCACAGAATCAGGAGGTGCTGCATTCTGTCTGCAGAACTCAGATTCTTAACGGGCAGGGCAACACTACACAGTCAGTAGCAGCAATAGACAGCAAAATGCTGCCTGGCTTCTTGAATGTCACCAATGTCACCTGAAACTCACATGGTGCCCTCACATCCATCATCTGTAGAGGTCGTTAGTGTTGACAGGGACCCACAGTTCACGCCGCCTTTCATTTCTTCTGTGTGATATGGAGTAGCCTGGGATCCACAGAGATTCCCTGCGGCTCCAATCGGGACTCTGCCTGCAGACCCTAGGCAAGTTCCCTGGCCTTTCTGATGAATCCCACTGCGGGGTTTCCCCCTTGCACCAAGTCCTGACGACCAGGGAAAGCAGAGCCACCGGCACTGGGTGAAGAGTGAGCTTGCAGTGAAATACACTTTCCTTCTGCTCCTCTCTTCCTTTCGGGAGAAGGAGGGCAGCGACTTGGCTTAGCATGGCTGTCCTCTGAGTGCTCCCGGCCCAAGTTCCAGCTGCTCCAGAGCTGGCTTTAGTACTATAGCCAGACAGTTCTTTTTCCACTAGGCTGCCTCAGCCGGGTGGTAGACACGGTCTTCGCAAATAGCTATTTATTTGCTTATCTGCAAGGAAGGAGGGGAGAGAGGCAAGTGATAGAGGACAAAATCAATTACTATTTTTCATCTTTGACAAAGTAATTAAGGCCATAGCGACTGGCTAATTCCGACCGAACGGTCGCGCACTGATGGATGCGGATTTACAGCCTCCTTTGGCTGCGGTGCGCACCGGTCCAGATTATCACTCTGAACAGCCGGCAGAGGAGGCAGGGGGTGGAAGCCTATGTGTGTGGGGAGTGTGTGCGTGTGTGACAGACTTTTCATCCCGCCCATTTCTGCTTTTTAATTAATTTATGAATTTTATTTAATTCTGCAGATCCATCTTTTGAGCCTCACAGGTGCCGACACACAACTGGACTCCAGATGATGCACCCCAGGACCAGGCCCCTACTTCATTGTGTTGGAAGGGGGTGCCCCTCTTTTGGCTGATCACTGTCCTTTTAGAGCGACTCCTCTGTCTGGAGTCTGACCCCTCGCTCCAGTCTATCTGCAGCCCCTCCTTTCTGGAATCTTGCGGCTGGAGGAGGCCCCTTTTGCACAGGCAGAGCTAGAGTGGCTCCTGCACGTCACCCGCCTCTGCAGGGCCTGATTAGCCCCATCCTAACTCAAAAGCGCACTTGGCCAGGCCACACGTCAGGTCTGGAGACCGAGCGTGGGTGCGGGGCATCACTCACGCTAGTGTGGGTGGAAGGATGTGGGGAGAAGTCCCTCACGACTCGGCCTCGGCCACGTAGGCGCAATCCTCCATACTGGCCAGGCGCATTCACACGCCCCACCAAGTCCTCGGCAAGAGTTTGGCGGGGGCTGCTCCAATGCAAATTTGGAGACTGGCCAGAAGCTTTGAAGTCGTGACTATTTGCTGTCAAAGTGACCCGTGGACCGCAGAGCTAGACATGAATCTAACTAGGTGCTGCGGGTTTCACGACTCCGTTGAGGCCAAGACTGCCCTCCACATTTATCCATTCCCCTTGTTGAAATCTGGAGTCTGTTTCTGAAGAAGAGTAGGGATTTGTTGTCTCTTCCTGCTTTCAGAGCCTTCTTCTGCCAGAGTACCCCAGAGTCCCCCTCAGTCCCTTACTCCTCCACTGAGACCTTCCCCATTTCTCGGTTGAGTAGGTGATTGGTGCAGATGACAGACTGTGGAGGGGTTAGTAACCTCTTCGGGGTTCAAAATAGACCTTTTGACCTTAGCTTTCAGAGGGTTGGAATAGTTTCTGAAAAGCCGTTAGCAAACTTAAATGCGATAATTTCATGGAATTCTTGCAGATGGCCCAGCAGCGAGAGCTCAGTGAAACGTCAATAAAAGGCTGCCTGGAACCCGAAAGGCTCCCTGGCTACATACTAGCGCCATCCTGCGCCACCCCCACCCCCAAATAGTGCAGACCCTGGATTCAGGAGACTGTCCTGGGAGAGCCAGGTTCAAAGAGACAGCTACCACTTTTGGAGTCTTGGAAGGATGAGGGAGGAGACCAGAGCTGGCGCAGCAATGCCCGCGGCGCCCACCACAATCTGCCTCCACAGCCTGCGCCCTCGGCCGCCGCGGCTTTGTCCTGGCTCCGCCGGGAGAAGGCCCAGTCGAGTGCGACGGCGCGGACCCGGAGGCAGTGGGTCCCCGCTGAGCTCAGCACCGCGCTTTCCAAGCTCCGCGTTAAGGCGGCCACGGTTCCCTAGCTATGCTGTCAAGACGAGGGAGAAGGAGGTACACTGCTTCTAGTCTCCTGACGACATCTTTGTGAAGGGCTTTCCCCTTCCGTGACTGTAGTCGTTGCCTAGTACCCTAGGTAAAGTCCATAGTTCACCTTTACATAACCTTGGCCACCCTAATCCCCAGCGCCCGCCCCTTTTAGGGTTGACCTTCTTCTTCTGGTTTCCCAGATCTGCCGTGGGTTGCTGGAGTTCCTGATTTAGGATAAAACTGCACTTTCCAATCAGGCTTGATTTTAAAGGATTTTTTATTTAAAGGACTATGGAGAAAGGATGGGGTTGTAAGTAACTGAAGGACTAAGTCGGTGCTTTAAAAACAAAATTCTTATTTTTTTCCCTAGAAGAGGCTAAAAAAAAAAAATGAATGAGAAACAGCAGTTGTACCCAGGATTAGCAAAGACAAAAGAGGGATGCAAAAACTAGATTTTCTTGTTTAAACGAAAACTAGGGATCCTTCCCAGACTGCCTTCCCAAACTGGCTTCCCGGAAAGGTTGGGGTGTGGGGATCTAGCCACCACACACTGACCAGGTTGGTGTACCCTCACCAAATGCAGGACCCTAGCCTGAAATAGGCATTGTAGACCCGGTTGGATACCGGAGACAGGCCCGCCATTATTTTGAGAAGTGTTATTTTGAAATTTGACAGAGTCAGGGAGGCCTAAAGAGAAATTGGTGGAAGAGGAAGAGGACTGATTTAACCCCCCTCTCACTACAGCCTAATTCACTTGGTTGCCGACTGCGCCTCGTCTTGGAGTCTTGGACGCAGTGGGACGTGTCTCTCCCACGTTTCCCTTAATTAGGAGGAGGGAAACTTTTCTTGTTCCCTCCCACTGGCTTTGGTTTAGTAATCAGACCCACATGAGTCACACCAAACACGCAGCCCCCTCCCGCCGGAGTGACAACAGGACCGCGTACTCCAGGCTGTTGTCCCTTTAAAAACCGAATCCAGAGGGGTAATGATTTATCAAACACGTATTATCAGGAAGGTGTCAAACGAAGGGCACCTTGCTTCCCACTGACGCAAACCCGGCCTTTCCCGGGAAGATATAGAAAGCGCCTCTTGTTCCCGGGCCAAGTCTAGTCCAGTAGCAGGTTTTACTCTACGCTTCGATCTGTTGTCCGCATCAGATACGGTGAGTGCTTGCTTTTATTCTCTTAAGAGTAAAGGTGTATGTGAGGATCCGGATGGCAGGTTCGTTTAGGGTATTTCTTTTTAGAAACATCTGTGCAATAGATGAGAGGCAGAGAACCATTTTTGAAGATTGAAGCCCGGGTATTCGGTTCGTACTTGAGAACCTTGCCTCTTGCCTGAGGGCACAGAGAGGTTCCCTTAATCTGAGGGGCTGCGAAGTCTGGAGCTCCTAAGCCGGATCCCAGGCACTTTTCCTGGTGCTGAAAGTCAGGATAATGCACCCGGGAGTGGTTCTAGCTCCTACGAGCTATTGAGAATGCCGGCTGGAGTCCAGGGATTGGGTTTTCTACGCTTAAGCTCAGTCTGTGCGTTGGTGAAGCCGGCTAGAGGGGAGGCTTTTGGTTGAGGAGAAGGTAACTTGATTAGTTTTACAGTGAACGAATTATTTATCCTAACATGGAACTCTGGAAGGCAACACCTGAGCTTGAGGAAGCCAAAGGGAAACCCAGGGCTGGCAAGTCTTTACGTTTAAAAATCAACGGGGAGGTGGGGGGAGCTAATGAAAATCATTGGTGAGCTTTGGTCCCCAGTCAAGATCAGGGCAAAGAAGGCTATTAGGTTCCTGGAAATGGACAGAAAAACAAAAATACTTGGCAAGATCCCTTACATTTCAAGGGGTCTGGAATCAAGTGTAGATTGTGCAAGGGTCAATGCCAGTTTACTACTTTGTGTATCTGTTCATTGTTTCAGTGGCGGGGCCGTTTGTTGTTGGTAATATTTTGATAAAAACCCTTTATCCTTGACTTTGCTACCTGGGTTACCTAGGTAGGTTTGGAATACTGGAGTTTGAAATTACCCATGTGGCTTCCAGCCCTGGTCTAGGCCAGAGCACCGGTTTGTGATCACAGCTTGTCTATGGGAGAAAGAAAAAAAAAAAAGAGGCAATGTGCATTGTTGAATGACAAAGGAAATGGGGCGGAAAATTAAAGAATCTTTTCACAATGGTGAAGGGGATGTGGTACCCATAGCCTTGATTTGAAATCCACAGAGGGCAGGGAGCTCCTGTCTGTAGGGTTATTTCTACACTGCCCGCCTCTTTTCCCCTTCCCAAACCACTCGTGCTTCGTTCTTAGTTCATCCTCCACCTTGGGAGGAGGGAATATTAACATCTTCATGTCCCAGGGTTACAGACAGCACTGGCGAGTTGCGGAAACCCCCGATTCCTTTTGCTCCCCTGAGTATTTTGTGTCTGGACCCGGAAGGAGTGCATCTGTGTATGCAGAAGCATATATTTTATTTTTAAGGCTGCTGTGACCTTTTTTTGTTTTGCACGAACTTGACGTTGTATTTGCAGGATTGCAGTGCTACCAAGGAAATGAATAAGCAACCAACCAACAGCCTGGAGGCAGCAGTGCCGGGCCACCGGGATAGCCCACGTGCACCCGGGACCAGCCCTGAGCAGGACCTGCCTGCCGCCGCCGCTGCCGCGGCTACTGCCGCGCCGCCACGTGTGCCTAGGTCCGCTTCCACCGGCGCCCAAACTTTCCAGTCTGCGGATGCGAGAGCCTGCGAGGCGCAGCAGCCCGGAGTAGGGTTTTGTAAACTCAACAGCTCCCAGGCACAGGCGACCTCCGGAGCTCTCCGGGACTTAAGCGAAGGGCACTGCGCACAGGCCAACCCCCCTTCCGGGGCCGCTGGGGCCGGCAACGCGCTGCACTGCAAGATCCCAGCTCTGCGTGGCCCGGAGGAGGACGTGAACGTGAGTGTGGGCAAGGGCACGCTGGAGCACAACAATACCCCAGCTGTGGGCTGGGTAAACATGAGCCAGAGCACAGTGGTGTTGGGTACCGATGGCATCGCGTCAGTGATTCCAGGCAGCGTGGCCACCACGGCCATACCGGTAAGCAGGTCACAAGCGGCTGCGCTGCCTGCTGCTCTCCAACCGCGCGAAGGGAGCTGGGCCCTGGCGGGTGCACGTATGCTAATGGGGAAACGGGTTGGCAATGCCAGGTGGTGGATGCTGGAGGCAGCTTTGGGGCTTCGGAAGTTCGCATTGCTGGAGGCGGGGGTCAGGTGATCAGTTAAGGTTTGGGGTGTTCGTGTGTGTGCAGCGACCGTGCCAACAAGGTTCGGACTTGCCCTTCCCAGCCTCAGCGGTAGAACCGGTGCAAATCCGTTAAATAAAAGCAGATAGATTCTGTATCTTGCAGCAGAGTCTCCATCCTATCAGTGTCTGAGTCCTTTTGTTCCTTCAAAAATAAAAACTCCGATTCAAAAGGAAGCACGGAGACAAGCCTGGGGTGGTATGGGAGGTGAATAGAGCTGATTCTGAGGGTTTTTCCGGTGAGCCGAACTTACTACCTGTGAACTCTTTTAATGAGAGGCTGCTGAACTTTATTAAGCATCAGGGTCTCTTAACCTGGGCCCTTCCAAATCTCAGTATCTACTTTAAAAATTTTCGCCTAACACAGGCCCTCTCAATTGCGTAAGGTTCAGTTCAGGCTCTTCCCATTGGGATTTACTCCTTAACCAGAGATATGAAGAAAAAAAAAACCCTACAGGGTGAACCCCAATCTCTGCGCCAGTGATAAAGGCAATCTTCCCTCTCTATAGGCTATTGTTTGTTTCCGTTTCACCCCAGAGATTTCTCTTCCTTCTCTGATTTCTTCTTTCCCTCACGCTGTTTTCAGGGATTCGAGCTCTCTTTTTCCCATGGCCTGCCTTTCCTCTAGCTTCCCTTCAACCTTGGACTCCTGGGCTAGGTGTGTGGCCAGAGCTCAGGCTGAGAGTGGGCCAGATCACATCTGTAGGGTTTACAGAGCTTTCTCTCCCTAATCACCTGCACCTCACACCCCAGAACTTACACAGTAGGAACTCAGCCATCCATCCAGCCATCAGGGTAACTAGAAATGACCTTACATTTACAGGTATCTGTGCTTTGGGCATTTCTTTCTAGAACACTGTTCTGCATATATTAGGTGCCTTTAACAGCACGTATCCAGCAGTGGAATTGAAAATACGTCTCACACACCTCCCTTTCCCTCTGCACTGCGACAAAGAGCCAGAACTCCCTTCTGGAGTCAGCTGTGTTGGAGGGCGGGGCTAGGGGTGGAGACCGGTGTGTGGAGGAACAGCTGTGGAACTTTAAAGAGCCAGAGAGACTAAGTGTACCAACGTCTCAGCCCCCTCTGACACTCACTCAGCCCTTCTTCTTCCGCCCTAGGTTGCCTTCCCTCTTTAACATCCCTGTTTTATCTTCCATGACCTGGAGAACCTGGTGAAGCTCTCAAAGCTGTCACTGGCTAGGTAAAGGGTGACTGGAAAGCAGGGTATCCCAGCGTCTGGGTGTCAGGGACACTTACAGAGTTCATGCAGAGTGCCCTCCCCATTCATTTTGCTGAGGCTTTCTAGAATCAGGTACATGAGCCCTGAGGTTCACAGACAATTTAAGCTGGCAGATGCCTCCGAGACAGGTCTTCAGAGGCCTCCATTGTCCAGATGTGGACCCAGGCTGAGCCCAAGCCACTCTAAGGGAGCTGTCTTTGCTTAGTAGTAAGATCTTGATCAGAAGTCATGGTTTTGGCTGGCCTGTCTCTTAACCACATCAATCTTCTCTATTCTTTCTCTTGTTTCAATTCAACTCCAATTCTCTGTCCAGCCCATTTTCCTTGCTCCAGGTTTGAAGAATGCACCTTTTAAAATTAGCTGACTGGACAGGTTTTGCCTGTAAGCTTTGGCAGAGAAAGCAAGGCAGGAGCTATGGCTGGCTTTAAGCATTACAGTTCTTATTTCTGGCACACATTTTGAAGGACCAGGACCAAGGAGGGGTGTGCAGTGAGGGTTTTTTTTTTGGGGGGGGAATTGGTTAAGAACCTGCTTGCTGGGAACTCCAGGCATGATATTGGGGGTCTGCTTGCCAAATGAACTCCTGATACCAGGGGACAGACGTGCTTGCTAGCAGGAACAGGGTTTGGGGAAGGTTGCTTGCTGGCGTGCCCTGACTGTAGGATTTGGGGAAAAGCATTGGAGGTCTGATTAAAACAGATCTTTAGAATAAAATTTGGGGGCCTGCTTGCTGAAAGACTCAGTGCAGGGGTGAGGGGTGAGGGCTCTGCTCGTGGATGCATCCTTCCTTCAGATTTGGGGTCTTGCTTGCCGATGCATCCTCTGTTGGAAATTGGGGGTCTGCTTGCCGGGGAAGGCCCCCCAGCTGTGGGGGGAGGGCGGAATGGGGCCTGCTGAGGACCTACCTGGGTCTGCTATCCGACAATGTGCTTTTCCGCCCTCAGGAGGACGAGCAAGGGGATGAGAATAAGGCCCGAGGGAACTGGTCCAGCAAACTGGACTTCATCCTGTCCATGGTGGGGTACGCAGTGGGGCTGGGCAATGTTTGGAGGTTTCCCTACCTGGCCTTCCAGAACGGGGGAGGTATGGCTTTTCAGCTCTTTCCGCCTGCGGAGGGGGCAGGGGGCGGGCACCGGAGGGTTGGGGGTTGTATCTGAAGCCCTCAGGCAGAGGTTGGGAGGGAAGCTTGGGATAGCCTGGTCCTTTGCAGGCCAGACTGCAGAAGCCAATGGAACCCGCTGGATTTCAGAGTGGAGACGGACTCAGTTGAGGCATAGGCCTCATTAGGGATCCTCTATTGGCCCAGACTGGGGACTGGGTCTCCAGGCAAGTGTACAGGGAAGTAGGGATGTCCGAACTCTAGTAAGATGCGATTAGTCAGGGTGAACCTGATTGCTGGACTTTAGAGCCGATGCCCTGCTGTCCTGGAGGTCGTACTGTGTCTGTCTTAAGGTTTTAACTGGGAAATCTGAACCTCCTTCTCGGTTGGAGACTGCGAAAAGAACAACTGCGCCAGAATGCAGGGTGCAAGCGAGCAGTGAGAAGTGTGGGGTGCACCTAATCAGAGGTTTCTCAGGAGCACCCCAGCCCAATACCCCTTCTTGGCAAGAGGCAGGAGGTATTTTGATTTTAGTTAAATCGTTTGGCAAAGATGAATCTTCTCCCGTGTGTCCTCACTGTGTGAAAGCCGCTGCCTTTGAAAGAAGCGTGGGAGTGCCGAGGAGCAGGCATTAGATCTCACTGGATCTCGGGTGTACCTACCAGGAAAGGGACTCAATACAGTCAGGGTCCGTTGGCTGGCCGTCTGAGGTCGAGGTGAGGGACCGGCTGCTTGTCCCAGGCCAGCGGACAAGGACCCTCCAGGAATTCAACCTCTACTCGACCAAAGGTGCAAGGAACGTGCCCCTCGCCCCGGTCCTCTCAGCCCCGGTGGTATTTGGTGTCCGGAGCGGTCCCCATCCTGCAGCAGGGGATAGTTATAATGTAAAAGAGAAGACGCCCTTCTCCATGTCCCTTACTACCAGTTTCGAACAAGACATTTGACCAACACTAACATAGCCTGCGGGAGTGTTAGCAATCATGGGTGCCCAGAAATTGCGAGGATTTAGGTGCCCCAGCTAGGTTTACATTGTTTTATCCCCCATAGGGCGTCCCTAAGCCTGAGTGCAGGGGTCGGGAGGAGGGGCTGGTTCTAGGGCTGCAGGGACCAGGAAGGGGGTTTGCGTGTGGGGGATGGAGCCAGGGGAGGGATTCCAGCAGAGCCCCTGGCAAATGCCCGCCCTTGATTCACCGGGTCCTGTGGGCCTTAAGGGGGCTGAGGAGAAGAGCCAGAGTCCTGTGGGCCTTAAGGGGGCTGAGAAGAGCCAGAGCGTTGTCCGCAGTGCGGCTCAGGCGCCCCACAGCCCGCAGCAAGAGTGGGGAGTTTGGCTCTACCTCCTCGGGACCGAAAGGGTCGCACAATGAACATTTTTATTTTTAAAAATTTCTACCCAGAGAGAGTAGAGGGGGGAGCCCAAACCTACACCTCAGTAGTTCCTTCCCGCCTGGAGGCTTAGGCAGGAGTTGCCCTACTGTGGGACCAACCCGGAAGAAATCAGGGAAAAGGGGAGAAAAGCTGTCTTCTCAGATGAGCAGTCTTCCCGACTGGGTTCATTTTCTTCTCCCCAAATTGACTTTGACTCCTGGGTGGGCATTCCCTGGTAATTCTCAGGCCTGAGAATCCTTGAAGAGAAAGAACTCCCCCAAACCCCGCAAGGCAGCAGAGGCACTGTAGCTTCCTCTGGGCCTTCTAAGGAAGAGTGTTGAAGGAGAAACGCTTCTGGGGGCTCACAGTCTAGACAAGACAGCCACATGAATACTCAGAAGAGAAGGGCGCTTGGGGCAAGGGACTGTGGGAAGACTTCTCCCCAGAAGGAGGACTAAAGAAAGTTCTGAGAAGGAAGTTGAGAAGTGGGTGAAGGAAGGTGTTGCCACCCGGGGAGGTTGGTGTGGGCAGGGACTGAGTAGGTGGGCATCCAGCGGCCCTCAGGCAGAGCAGGCCTGGTGGGTTGAAGGTGTGTGGTTCCCTTGGATTACTGTACAGGAGGCTTCCCAAATTCAGCTTCACTGAGCGTAGGTCCTTAGAGGGCCTAGGCATTGATGGGAATCTGCTGCCTCCAGTGAAAGGCATTTGTGGATTTAGGGAACCACAGAAAGGCTTAATTCGGGCGGGGGGGGGGGGGTGGGACTGGGAAATAAAGCTGTGTAAAGAACAAAATACCATGAACACACAACTTCCTGTCTGGTAGGAAATTGAAGCAAGTACTGGATCCCCATGCATAGCTTTATGCTGTTGGAAGATGGCCCTCCACTGCCCCATGGGTGTGCCTTCTGTTGAACTGGGTTGGGACCTCTCAACAAAAAGAGTATCTTCAGTTTATTGTAAGAAGTCCAGCCCCAGTTCAGAGAGTTAAGCTGAGCCAGAGCCCTGCCTGTCCTCCTGACTCTTCCTTCCCCTCTTTCCAAGGTGCTTTCCTCATCCCTTACCTGATGATGCTAGCCCTGGCTGGCTTGCCCATCTTCTTTCTAGAGGTGTCACTGGGCCAGTTTGCCAGCCAAGGGCCTGTGTCTGTGTGGAAGGCCATCCCAGCTCTACAGGGTGAGTGCGGTTCTCCCCCTGCCTCCAGACCCCGCCTTCCTTATCACCTTCTCAACTCAGGGAGGGGGACCCGCTCTGCTCTGTCCCCCGCTTCCCCTCCCCCCGCTTCCCCTCCTTTGATCATCTCTGCCTCTGTGGGGTCCTTGCAGATTGCCTCCCTTTCCCTGGCAGACAGTCCACTCCACTGTCTGTGCATCCACCTGCATGGAGCATCTGTGTGGGTGTGGGGCATGCACGGGCTTTGGGACGACATCATCGCAGGCACTTCCCCTTTGCAGGCTGCGGCATCGCAATGCTCATCATCTCGGTCCTCATAGCCATATACTACAACGTGATCATCTGCTACACACTCTTCTACCTGTTTGCCTCCTTCGTGTCTGTGCTGCCCTGGGGCTCCTGCAACAACCCGTGGAACACGCCAGAATGCAAGGATAAAACCAAACTTTTGCTAGGTAAGTTTGGACATGCCTTAACTCCGGCATTCAACAGATGCTCAGTGAGAACTTCATATATGCAGGTAAGACCCTATACTAGGTTGTGGGGCACGGAGGTGAATTCAAACATCCAAACATACTTAACTCTTACATTTGAAAAGCTCATGGCTAGCTGGGCGGTGGTGGCACAGGCCTTTAATTACAGCACTTGGGAGGCAGAGGCAGGTGGATCTCTGTGAGTTTAAGACCAAGCCTGGTCTACAAGAGGGAGTTCCAGAACAGACTCCAAAGCTACAGAGAAACCCCATCTCGAAAACCAAAACACACACACACACACACACACACACACACACACACACACACACACATACACACACAAAACCAAACAAACAAACAAACAAAAAACTCCTATCTAGAGGCTGAGAGAGAGAAAAGTTTTGTTTACTTCCAGAGAGCTGGTGCATTTGCTAAATGTGCAGACTAACTCTACTGGCTTTAGCAGGGATGAAGCTAGGAAATTTGCATTTTACCAAGGTATCTAGGACCTTGCTTTGTTTTCTTGAGTGTTTGATCTGGGCAGGGGGGGGGGGGGCGGGGGAGTAAGGAACCCTTTTGGGTTTTATTTATTTATTTATTTTGCCATTATCCTCCTTGGCAGACTTCTCAAAACAACCCCACAAGTTTTAGACTCCAAGTACCCCACACATGTGATCCCTGAGGTCCGAGTGCAGACTCTGAAGACTTTGCTAGAAATGTGTGCATCCTGCTAGGGCCAGGGAGAGGGCTGCCTGCTGTGTGAGAGCCGGATATTGTGTTGGGAGTGTACAATGCACTGGGTGTATGAAACCCCAGGGTGTGAAATCCTCTGGGGTATGTGAAATCCTCCGAAGGTGTGAAATCCGCAGGGTCCAGAGTGGGTGGGGGGATACAGGCTCAGCTCACTGGGTAGAAGGAAAGAATGAATGCCCATTCATTCTTCAGGAAATGCCCATTATTCACTCAGGAAATAGAAAGAGTTCTGTATTCTGTACTCTACCTGCTTCTGCTGACCAGAGGAAAGACCGGGGTAGGGTATGACCGTACCTGTGAAAATGTTAAGGCCATGGCAGTGGTGGGGTGGGGAGTGTCAGTCACTTTGGGAAACTATGATCATTTAATGGATACCAATAAGGAAGTAGTCTCTCCCAGCATAATGCGGCTTTCCAGGTAAGGTGAGTTCTTGCTGAGGCCAGCTGCAAGTGATCTCTGTGATTTGTTGTTAACACTTACTTCCCCAAACAGTTCTTTCTCCATACAGAGCCCATACTTTGCAAAACTTGGCCATTAGTCACCCCTGTAGGTGTGTTAACAGCATAAGAAGAGTTCTTCCCTTCTGTAATAGTTACTTCCTGTTGCTCTGATGAAACAAAGGTGAGTTTTGGAAAAATGAATTTATTTTGCCTTATGGTTCTAGGGTGAGGGAAGGTACGGCAACAGCTGGCAGGCATAACCGAAGGAGCAGGAAGCTGAGCGATCACATCAGGAAACAGAGAACAAACTGGAAATGGGATGTCTGAGTGAGGGTTCTAATGCTCTGGAAATGGGGTGTCTTAGTGAGGGTTCTAATGCTCTGAAAATGGGGTGCCTTAGTGAGGGTTCTAATGCTCTGGAAATGGGATATCTTAGTGAGGGTTCTAATGCTCTGGAAATGGGGTGTCTTAGTGAGGGTCCTAATGCTCTGGAAATGGGGTGTCTTTGTGAGGGTTCTAATGCTCTGGAAATGGGGTGTCTTAGTGAGGGTTCTAATGCTCTGGAAATGGGGTATCTTAGTGAGGATTCTAATACTCTGAAGAGACATCTTGACCAGGGCAACTCTTGTAAAAGAAAATATTTAATTGGGCACTTGCTTGTAGCTTCAGAGGTTTAGTGCATTTGAAAGTTTAGTTTCCCATTAGGGAGGGGAAAATGGCAGCAGGCAAGCAGGCATAGTGTTGGAGAAGTGGCTGAGAGTTCTACATCCAGATCCTCAGGTGTGCAGAGTTTAGACTGAAGGGAAGCATCTTTCTATCGTTCCTCTCTTATTCAGAGTTTCTCCAGGTGGAGGCTGAGTATGGCACATGTTACATATGTGTGTGTGTCTGTCTGTGTGTGTATGTGTGCATGTGTAAAAGCACTATAGTGTAACTGTATCCTTAGATACCAGATAATAGCTTGAGACTACAGCAGGCAGCAGGAAGACAGAGACTGGGCATGCTGTGGGCTTTTGAAACCTCCAAACCCACCACAGTGGCACACTTCCTCCAACAGGGCCATACCTCCTCTAACAAAGCCACACCTCCCAATCCTTCTCAAGCAGTGTCACTCCCTGATGACTAAGCATTTAAATATACAAGCCCACAGCGGTCATTCTTACTCAACTCATTATATGGGGAAAGGGGATAAACCCTCAAGTCTGTTTCCAGCTACTTCCTCCAGCAAGGCCACACCTCCTAAACCTCCTCAAACAGCACCACCAACTAGAGACTGTAACATGAAGGGGCCTGCGTGTTGGGGTTTATGTCCTGCCCAGTTCCCCACAGCTGGCAAACCCCAAAGAAAATCACACAGAGATCTCCATAAGTTATAAAATTGATTGACCCATTAGTTCTGGCTACTTATTAGCTCTTGTAGCTTATATTAACCCATTGTTCTTATCTACATTAGTCACATGGCTCGATACCTTTCTTAGTGGGGCAGCTAGCTCACATCTTGCTTCCTTGGTGGTCTGGGAAGAACTGCGGAGGGAACTTCCTGCTTCCCAGAATACTCTTGTTCTCATCGTCCCACCTCTACTTCCTGTCTGGTTGACCCACCTATACTTCCTGCCTGGCCAATCAGCATTTATTTAAAACATGATTGACAGAATACAGACAATTATCCCACTCCTCCCCCTTTTTTTTTAAACAAAGGAAAATATCCATAGTCCATTTGTTGGGAATGTGGGCATAGTATTCCAGGCTACTTCTGACTGGTTGGGGGGCACTGATAATCTTATGGGGACCTAAAGAAAATTTAGAATTATCATCAAGTCCTGACTGGAGTATCCTGTGAGTCTTGATCATATCAGGCAGCAGTCTTGAATCTGTTCTGGATGTAAAACTTAGACATTTGGGCCATCTGTTCCTACCGGAGATTTTTCAGATGGTCTTCCTTGATCAAACCTGATTTTTCTTAGCTCAGAATGAATCCACAGCCTCTCATTTCCTGTGGAAACAAAGAAAATCCTCTTCTCCAAAGTAACATACCTTTTGACTTCAATTTTGAAGCCAAGGTATTTTTAAAATACCTATCTTGGATTAATTTAGCAGCATTTTTAAGCAAATATCTTTTAGCAGCTGTTGCTCCTTCTTCAGGATTCAAACAATTCAAAGAGAGCATAATAGCATACAGTATCAAGATTCTCTGTATATTTTCCATCTTTATGTGGCTTTACTTTAACCTGTATTTCTTTTATTTTTACTTTTAACTTTTGGCTTTTTGAGACAGGTTCTCTGTGTATCTTTGTCCTGGAATTCCCTCTGTAGACCAGGCTATCCTTGAACTCACAGAGATCCCTCTGTCTCTGCCTCCCCAGTACTGGGATTAAAGGTGTCTGCCACCACACCTTGAATTTACAGAGATCTGTCTGCCTCTGCCTCCCAGGCATTGGGGTTAAAGGTGTGTACCATCACACCCAACTACTCTCTCTTTTTTTTTAAGGACTTTAACCTTTAGCCTGCATATATTTTTTAAGACATAGTAAACCATTTAGAGGTTTTCTTCATCTTTGAATCTATCTTTACTGTATCTCTCTCTCTTTTTCTGACCACATGAGCCTTTATTTTACCAAGCAATATGGAGAGGATTAAAGCCATGGCTTTGATGGCTGTATTCAGCTCATTCCTTAGCCTTCTGCAATTCCAGCCTTATGGCAGAGGTACCAGCTGTAGCCATGTTTATTGCCACAACTATATGGCATTTCAAGGTCCCTGCCAGCAAGCAAGCAGCAGCATTCTGCTCACAGACCACACTCAAGTGCTTTGTAGTCAGACTGCCTGCCTGAAAGAGTCAGAGTTTGCCCTGGCAGGATGGCCCAGAAAGCTGGCATTTTAAAATGGCACAGTTTTTTTTCCTGCTATGATTGAAAACCAAAAAGCATGCATTCAACTTTTCATCAACACCGTTTAAGTGTTTTGTGGCAGGACCTCTTAAAAGAGCTGCAGGGTTTTACAGCTAAAGCTGAGTCAGGAAGCCTCTCTTAGATGAGAGCACTTGTTTGCCTCTAGCAAGCAGAGCAGACCCGGGAAATTGCTGCTACCAAGAAAACATGCTTTACTCTATTCTTTCCCAAGCTTTCTCAAGATTTCTGTGGATGCAGTTATCCACGTGGGTGCCATTCTGTAACATGAAGGCCTGCTTGTTGGGGTTTATGTCCTGCCCAGTTCCCCACAGCTGGCAAGCCCCAAAGAAAATCACACAGAGATCTTCATAAGTTATAAAACTGATTGACCCATTAGCTCAGGCTACTTATTAGCTCTTGTAGCTTATATTAACCTATTATTCTTATCTATGTTAGCCACATGGCTCAGTACCTTTCTCAGCAGGGCAGCTCACATCTTGCTTCTTTGGTGATCTGGGCAGAACTGCGGAGGGAGCTTCCTGCTTCCCAGAATACTCTTGTTCTCATTGTCCCACCTCTACTTCCTGTCTGGTTGACCCACCTATACTTCCTGCCTGGCCAATCAGCATTTATTTAAAACATGATTGACAGAATACAGACAATTCTCCCACACCAAGGGACCAAGGGTTCAAATACATGTCTATGGTGTCTATGGTGGACATCTATCTCTCACTGAAATCACCACACACCTCTGTAGTCCCAAGATATCGTCCCTTATCTAAGGACACAGTTTACACTGTAGTGCTTTCTACATTCACACATGCGTGTAACACACTCCACATCCAGCCTCCACCTGGAGAAGTAAGACCACAAGGGAGGAACAGTAGAGATGCTTCCCTTC